GGGGGGGGACGAGGGGGACGAAGGGTGGCGGCGGCGGTGCGGCCATCCCATTCAGCAGTAAAGCCGCTTATTTGCGGCTATAAGAGGGGTATTCTTTCAGTCGCGTGGGAGGATAGGGTTGGGGTTCAGATTCGGCGGGGTAGCCGCGGAGGAGAGTGCGGGTGGGGAGGGAGGGGAGGGAGTACCCTATACCCCCCCACTCCCCCTCTCTCCCCAAACCCCCTGGGGGGTTGGTTCTGGTCGCGGTGGCCGCGGCCCGGGGCGACAGCGGCTGGGGCTGGACACCAAGCACATAAGCGCACGCAATGCGAATCTCCCACGCGCGGGCAGTTGTCGCTGTCGCGTCAATCTGTCATTGGTGAACCATGGGTACTGTCCTTTCCTGGTCCTTTCTATAACAAACGTCTATTTTGTCTGATAAAAATTTCGGGCACATAACGCAAAAAATATCAGAAAAAAACAAACAATCTTTCAGGGGAAATTTCTTAAACATTTAAGTTTTCTGGAAAGGTTCAAGTTTTTTTTAGAAAAATTTAACAGTTGCGTCCGGAATTTTTCCGCGATAATTTGTAAAAAAAAGAAAAATGAAGGACTGAAAGTCTTTTCGTGTCTTCCTATTTTTTTCCGCAATTTTCCCTGTCTTTTTGCGGCCTTCAAATCCCTAAAATTTCTTTTTTTTTTGTAAGCGGTGCGCGTCCACAACCGAACGATGCGTCCATTTTATTGATTCCCCGTTATTGCACATCAAAAGGGTGGGCGGGACTGACCCTTTCCTCGGATCGCATCCTCTCTTGGCGCCCCATAAAGCGATGTCCTGTCCGAGGGCGCGCGCCCCCGCCGGCCCCGCCCGCCCCGCGCCGCAGCCAAACCTAGCAGCGAGCAGGGGGAAAAAAGAAATCCGAAGAAGGGGCAAAAAAAAGTAGTCGTGTTGGTGATTTGGAGCCGGAAGGCGACGCGGGCTTGTCAGCGCTGGCTGCGCCACGGGGCACATATAAAGGCAACGCAAATAACTGTGTGTGAAACCCCGATCATTCAGAAGTTACCATACGAAAAGGTGGGGTGAGTGACTAAGTGCCCGCTAAAGTTTGCGATCACTCAGAAACATAAGGGACAGGGCTTCCACTCCATGCTGATGCGTGGTTATGCCGAAATGATTATTACTATAAGTTATTGACCAGACCACATCAGTTTAGCGTGTCACTAAGCATACAAGTTATGTTCACAATATTGTAAACAAATACTTAAGTATTTGAATTTAATACCCACAACTGACAAGACATGACTGCAGTATTCCCACGCACAGTTTCCGATGTGGTCAGCTTGTTAGGTGTCCAGAGTTTCTGGTAAAATGAAATTTATTCGTAAGTGTTTTCACTACGTGAAGAAAAGTACTCGAAAAGAGTACCTTGAAGCGGGATGATTCGCGTTGTTCCTGTGTCGGCTGGGCCGTGCACCATGGAAGTCCCAACTGTACTCCAATAAGTAATGTCTTTCAAAATGGGAATATCGTAACTAATTTCTTTCTACACCTATTGCCGAGACAACAAACAAATCTTCAGAAAATCCAGCCTTGAAATCCTCATTTTTTAGGCCGTTTTCTTTACGATGTCCGACCAGCCGAAGAGGGTCCGGCTTCCGAATAGCAGCGCATCATATAAGGACATATAAGACGGCCGTTTCGCCGCTTGACTGTGTCGTCACTGAAGATCTAAATGCGCGCCGGCCAGCGTTCGGGGCGCGGCGAGGCGGGGCGGGGTGGGATGGGGTGGAGTCTAAGGAAAGAAGGACCCGCGACGCGGTGCGGGGCGCCTGGGCGATCAGCACGGCCAGCTCGGCGGTGGCACGCACGGCGCACCGCGGTCGCGAGAGTCGATTCGCGTGAAATACGACACTCCGCTTCTGCAGGACTGCTGGGGCGGGGCGGGTGGCGAGCCGCCGCGACCGGCCGTCCGGTCTAGAAACACACTATATCAAAGGGAACATCCTCCAGGGCGCGAGGCGGGGCGGGAGCGATGTGTGTGTGCTTCTTTCTCGACCTCCTCCTCCTCCTCCTCCTCCTGCTCTTCTTCATCCTCTACTTATCGACGGCGGCAATGGGAAACGAAACGGCCCCGGAAATGCGAAAGGCTGTACCGTCACCGTCGTCGTTGGGGAGGCCGGGCTAGGCGAGTGACCGGCGAATCTGAATCTGCCGTCGCGGTGGAATGACCATAACACAGCCGGGGGAACATTTAATCACGATGACACTAGGGTAGGCTGAAAACGGTGTCTGAAAACTCGAGGGTAGTACTTAAACTTGCCGAGGCTAATGGATTTAGGAAGACAAATAGTAATCAAGTTACGTTCTGTTACGTGCCGTTTGCCTAGCATAGCACCTTGAAACTCAAGTTGTTTTTTTACCCGTCTTCCTCTTGGTGTCTGGAAATAATTATGATGTGATGTAGCACAGCGAGCACAGCACAACCCTGCCATCTTTTTCCATTTTTCCTTGCTCGTCCTTTCTGATTATTTTTTCCATTATTATTTGTACTTATATTATTACCAAGATCACGTGGAAAATTTTAAAAAACTGCCGCCTCTGTGCGTGCCTGTTACACGTTGGGGTGTCCTCCCCCTTTTTCCTCCGAGGTGGCTCAGGCCGGCCAGCCTCCCCCTCCCCCTCCCCTCTCCCTCCCTCTCTCTCCCTCTGCAGGATTTATTATGCGCCTCAACTCCTTGGCTGCCGGTGCCGCTAGTCGACACGTCCTCGCGCGGAAATAAGACCATGAAGCAGGAAATAACATGGCGTCGGTGTGCGCCATAAAAAGGGATACAATATATTTAAATGACAGCAACCGCAACGCCCTCTGTGGTGCGCCTTGCCCCGCCCCGCCCCACCCCTCGCGCACCCTGTCGACTTGAACCCGTCCGTGGCGTTCGCTTCAGGTTTGGTCTAAAGCTGCAAGACAAGAATCATATTTCACCATGGTTTATGCATAAAAAAGAGGACTTGAGATATACTGTTAATTATTTTTTTATTAATACAACAACTTTTTACAAAAATGATCATTAGAAGGTGGGTGTGTTATGGGGTCACCACACCCTCGTTTTACACTCCTTTAAAACCTAACATGAACCACAATAAACGAACAAAATCTTTTCAACAAAACAAAATCACATTGAGCTTCACAAATTTAACATTGAAAACAGAGTGCCTTTTGCTGGTATGCCTGTCTAGGTAAAATAATGTTAAATGAAGTATTTTTACTGTTTTGTTGCGCGTGATATGTATTCTTCCGGTTCGAATGGTCTCTAGCTGCCTGGAATTTGATTTGAGGTGTACGTCTTACAATTTACATCGAAAACAATAATTTAGAGGGAAATCATCCGTCCCGAATAACTAAAGCTTATCTATTTGGTTTACGAACTAAACTTAGATCACAATCAGTTATGTCAGGCTTCTGACTCAAAGAATGGCACTGCATGGTTTCGACTCTCTCCAGTCAACGGTTATGTATCTCCTTTAGCTCTATTGTCACGGTCTGAAACTAGCTCGACCAATAGTCCCTACGAGTCACTCATCGCGATGCTCGGAAAAGGGCGAAACAATTTTTGTACTTTCAGTAAAGAATCACTGGCCACATATCGAGGGCGGCCTCAGTGCAGGCGTTCGGTCCCGTTGGGCTCGTCATGGGCGGGGGACCTTGGCGGCGACGCCCCCGCCGAGGCCGTCCTGGACGGCACCGCCCACCACGGCATCCCCGGCGGAGGGCCGAGGGGCGCGCCGGCGGGGCCACCCGGGGCCGAGGGCCACAGGCGGAGGCTGAGGTTCCCCCGGAGCGCGTCGGCGGCGTCCGGGAGAACCGGGAGCGGCTTTCATATGACGTGCTGCGGCGTGAAGGGCGGCGCGCGCAGCAGCTCGGGCGTGGCGCGGTCCTGCTTCTCGTCGTCCGGGAGCAGGCCGTCGGCGACGTCGACGCGGCCGCGGCCCGGGCACGGCGGCCTCGCCGCCAGGAAGGGGATGGGCCGCTTGACGTCGGGCGGCGTGGGGCTCCGGCGCGGGTGCAGCGGCGGGCTCCGGGGCAGGGGGCTGAGGGGCGAGCGGCGGTCCAGGCGGTCGCAGCCGCAGTGCAGGCCACATGGGCTGGGGTGGGGCTGGGCGGCCCCCTGGTGGTGGCCCACCTGGTGGCCCGAGCCCACCGTCAGGCCGTGCAGCGGCGGCGGCCACGACAGCGACGCGGCAGCCTGCGAGTACAGCGACGAGCTGTACAGCGCCTGGAACAGAGAACACGACATGGGGTGAGCACCTCGTTGAGCACGCCACAGACAGGGTGGCCATGTCGAGTGCATGAATGGTTCATTAGTACTTTGCAGAGGTCATTGCGGAATTACATTTTTGGATACATTTTCAATAAATCTTACTTGTTTCTCATATCTCTAATACCCATGTCTTTAAGTTTTGGGTGCATAACGACCTTAGAAAAATTTCCCTGAAAAAAGTGCAGCCAGGCTGTTTTGATGGTCGGCGTCCTCACCTGCCACGCCATGTCGGCGATCTTGCTGGAGGCCTGCAGGTCGTCGGCGTGCAGCTTGGCGGCGTGCTGCAGGTGCGGGTACAGCGGGTAGGGCAGCGGCGGGAACAGGGCGCCCACCCGGGAGAGGAGCGCGCCCGCCGAGAAGCCCGCGTGCGGCGGCGGCGGCGGCAGGTCGGCGTGGCGGGGCGGCGGCGGCCCCGCGCCGTGGCCGAGCAGCCCCCGCGGCAGCCCCGCCAGCCCCACCAGCCCCGCCGGCAGCCCCGGGATGGCCGCCATGGGGTGGGGCGATGTGGGCGGGCCGTAGCCGACGCCGCCCCCGCCCAGCGCGCCGCCCAGCGCGCCGCCCGCCCCGCCCGACGAGTCCATCTTGGAGACGAGGCTCTTGGGCTTGCGCCGCGGCCGGTACTTGTAGTTCGGGTGCTCCTTCATGTGCAGCTCCCTGTAACGGACGAAGGTGTCGATGAGGTGCTGGTTGCGGGTGAAAAAAAAAAGGGGTGATCAAGCACGACCATTTCATTGATCATCCCATTGTATGCAATTGTATGCAATTCGCAAGCGAGGTGGCATAAATTTTATACAAATGTTTTCAAATTTTAGAAGTCGCCTTACTGACAAAACTGTCCCCGAATCCCATACCCTTGCACCAACAGATACGTGTTGCACAATAATCAACAAGCCGTTCTTGTAGGCCTTGTTGAAGTTGAGGTTCATTTTATTGACGAGGTACTTTTTGGAAATTTTGCCTTATTTCTCTGTTTGCCCTTCCCATTCCTCGCCCCCTTGCTGCACTGCCCGTCCACACACACGTGTCTTTGGGGGGGGGGGGAGAGAGAGAGAGAGAGAGAGAGAGAGAGAGAGAGAGAGAGAGAGAGAGAGAGAGAGTCGCCGAGACCGCGAGCGAGAGAGAGAGAATATTTGTCTTCCACGTGACTCATGTCGCCTGCCGCGGGGCACAGTGGTCTCCTGTTTCCCGGGCCCCCGGCCCAGCCCGCTACAGTTGGCGCTATTCGATACCCGCAGATCTGCAAGACCGCCGCAACTCATCGGCGAGTCGCTGCCAGTTGTGCGTGCTGCCGCCGCAGCGCTAGCCGATCCCTAGGAGCTCGCATTCTCGACGCGCCCTGCCCTGCCCTGCCCTATCTAATCGTCGGAGGTGGCAACATTTTCCAGGATATGCTGCCGTACTCCACTCCACCGCGACTGCAGTAACGGAATCTTTATTCTGACTCACGTCAAAAACCGGTGAAGGGTGCGATATGCCAAAAAAGATAAAAACTAAAAAAATATAATGAACACGTGTTTGTTCTGCTCGAATGTTACATTTTTCATAGGAGGACTATTTTTACACAAGATTTGCACAAAAGATTATGAAAACGATTTGGCTGTCGCTAATACCCACATTTTAATGTCTGGATGCGAGCTAATGCCAGATGGACTCCCGATCTGAGCAACGTTCAGCCAGAAAACACCATATCAATGGGGATGAAATTAAATGGCGCCAACACGAGACACACTGAAGCACGCAGTAAGCTGGCGGGCCTTTTTGCATAGACTGGGCCTAAGGCGTGCCGGGCATACGGAACGGAGCCACTGGGTGCAGCCAGCGAGCCCGGGGCGTGGCGGGGCGGAGTGGGGCGGCCTGAGATGGAAGGGGAGGGGGTGAGGAAATGTAATAAGGGGAGGAGAGAGTGCGAAGAGCCCCGCGCACAATATGGCGCTTTGTGTGGATTCTGTGCTATTGTGCGCTATTGTTGCCCGCCAAGCATCAGCTTCTGCCCCTCCCTCCCCCTCCTCCTCCTCTCGCCCGGGGTTGTGGAAGGGTGCGGAGTCTAGGCCCCCGCCCCGCCCTCCCCCCCGCCCGGCCGCGCGCCGTTGCCCCCCGTCCCCGCGTCGTGCAGATAGCAGTTTGCCCGGCACTCGCCCGCCGTGCCCCGAACTCTAATATGCCATTGTGTTGGCGACACGAGGAGGTAAATATTGGCGATATGGGGTGCTAGATAAGGGCCTCCTCCTCCACGGGGAGGCACTGCTCCGGGGGGCAGCATGGCCTCGTCCCGGGTCCGGGGTCGACGTCGTGCCGGCGCACTCCTTCTCTCTTACACGAACATCTTATACCCTGATCATGCTCTCTCAAGAAGCCCCTTTCACGATTCCTTTTTGAAGGATTTCGCGGTAAGAACCACTTTGCAAAAAATTGTACCCGCTATGTCCTTTTATGCGAGACCTCAAAGCGACACATGGTTTATTATTGGCCCGCTTTAATTCGGACCCTAGACGTGCATGCCCAATCTTCTCCCCCCTCTCTTTCTCCCCGCGGGCAGGGGAGGCGTTTCCGGACCCAGCGCGACACAAAGACGGGATTTGGCGCCGTTATCAACAACCGCGCGTTGCCCCCTTCCCTCTGGGCTCTCTCTCTCTCTCTCTCTCTCTCTCTCTCTCTCTCTCTCTCTCTCTCTCTCTC